GCAGAAAAGAGAAACAACTTTTTAAAAAAATCCTAGCAATCTCAATGTCCCTGGTAGCAGTTATCTTTGAGGACCAACTATATCCCTGCTCTTTTTGTAGCTCATGTCATATGCCAGTACCATTTCAATAAGTACTACCTGCTCCCTAAACTAGTTAATTAGACATAAGATGCTATCACCTGCAAACTGACTAGTATAAATTCCAACTCCAGTTTGTTATTAGCTGTGTGACTTTTATCTCTTTTATCCAGTTTTCTTATATAAAAAGAATTAAGAGAGATAAGTGAAAACATGTAGGTGAAATGTCTGGTATACACTGATGTTTAATAAAGTGCTAGTTTCCTTATTCTTTCCCTATCTTGATAATCTTCATAGTACCAAGCAGTGACATTTATTCAATAAATATGTTAATCATCTGAAAGCATTTAAAGGAAGCCTCTTGAGGAAATACATTAAGGGAAATTCTAGACATGGAATGAGGTAAAAGATGATGTTACACGTTCTAAATAAGGGTTGTGTTATGTACAAAGGGATACAGATGGAAGAAGGCAAACAAATCAACTGTGTTTAAGACACTATGGCATATCTCTGCAACAGATTTAAAGATAAAATATGATTGTTGGAAATTATGGCACAGTATTCCATTGAATATTACACAAATTAATGTTTAACATATAAGAAATATATATATTTATTCTCCAACTTGTTCCAAAAAATAATTTGAGACACCTTACGGTGTACGATATATTTTTTTTCTTTTATGAAGAGAGAGATCTTATTTCCCTTTGTTTCTGTTAACTCAGGAGGAAACCTGTAAACAAATGTTAATTCCAAGATCCTAATAAACTTGCCAGGAGAGGGCTACCATTATGGATTTTAGCTTCCCAGCAGGAAAAGCAGAAATCTCAGGATTTGGTTATGAAGCTCTATTTTGATTGAACTTATTACAAAAGGGATCTCAGGTTTTACTTGTATACTAGATTTTGAAGGAAAAGAAAAAAACAAAAAGCAAAACGCCCTGAAAACCACTGAGAGTCATCTTTGTTAAGACCAAAGGAATGTTTAATGAAGCTCACATTTTCTTTTCAAACAGAGGGTCCTTTAGAAAACACAGCACCAATTTGTTATACAAACACATTTCCCAGGTACTAACTACTAATACAATCATCAAGTTATCTAGTTGCGGGAAACAGGCTATCATAGGGTCTATGGCCACCCTTAAAACATAGGTTTTTTTCATATTTGACCCATTTATAGTAAGTAATGTTTAATAACTGAGGCTGTGAGTAAGGCTGCCTTGGTTTGAATCCTGGGTTAGTTATTTACTAGTTGAACAGCTTGGGCATGATATTATCTACCCCACAAGACTGTTGGAATAAATGAGATAATGCATATATAAAGCAAAGACTATAGGAAGCACTCTGCAAATATTAGCAGCTACAACTATTATTAGTATTAGTGATGGTGAGAGAAATACAGTTGGTGTCTTGCTCCACTGGCTTGAGCTAGAACAAAACTGGATTGTCAATCAGGTTCTATCCACAGAGAGGGGAGATGAAGGGTAAGCTGGTTTCATAAGGAAGGCCAAGATGAAACAGACAACACAGACGTGGAGGCTGAAAAGAATCCTGCTCTTCAAGTTACAGTGAAAATCAACTTTTAGAAGCAGGAAAAAGGATGCCAGTATTCAAAAATATAGAGAAGAGGTAGAAGAAATAAGAGGGCAGGCAATGAGAACTCAGCCTACTCAAAAGGAAAGGCAAAGAGGCAGGCTAAAGATTCCTTTCCAGTTAGGCAGCTCGGAGTCACACACCCAGCTTCTATTCTCAGACAGTGACTATGGCCAGAAGCAGGAAAGATAGGTACTGTTCTATTTTTAAGGTCCTTCCCTAGAGAGTAGAAATTGGTTGGCCAAGGGAAGAAGAAAATAAAATATGTTTTCCTGGTTTTTATTTGTTTATACTTGATTCTAGTTTACTTATGAGTATATTAAAATGAAATGACTAAAGATACCCTGTTTAAATAGTTTAATACAGCCAAGGGCAGAGAATATTCATATCCCTGTAGGAAAAGATCTACTATAAGAGTCATGACTATATTCCATTTCGGAATAACTACATATCAAGAAATGATAATACTTTGAAAACTATTTTTAAAAAAGTACGTCTTACCACCGCCTCTTGATCCTCTTCTCTAGTTGAAATTCCAATTTACACAGTAAATTTCTGAACAAGACTTTGCATAATCTAACTAAAAGTATACTCCCCTAAAAGATAAGTCCACTAGTCTCTAGACCCAGCTCTGCTACTAATTAGCTATTTGACTCTGAGTCCGAAGATTTTAATCTATAAAACAAGAATATTAAATAAGTTCATCTTTAAATCCTCCTTCGAGTTATTGTTTTAAATATCTAAGAATTTAAAATTTGAATGCTTTGATTAAAAAATGTTTATAGACCATATCATTTCAGATTATTATGTTCAGCAAATGAACCCTAGTTTTCCCTTAAGAATTAATGAAATGTCAAAGTGGTAGGGTTTTTTTTGTGTGTGTGTACTAGGGGAGGGGAGGCAGAAGTTATTAGAATCTTTTATACTTATTATTCATGATTTCACCTAATAGCACTTGAAGGATAGGTACTAAAAACACTCATACCACATTCTAAATTACATGATTTATCCTACTAATAACATATCCTACTAATAACATTTAAGTAGTTGTTAAAATGTTGAAAAAAACTAGTATTCACACAATACCATTTACATCAGAACCAAAAAAATGAAATACTTAGGTATAAACCTAACAAAATATGTACAAAATCTTTATGAGGAAAACTACAAATCTCTAATGAATGAAACTAAAGAACTAAACAAACAGAGAGATAATCCATGTCCATGGATAGGAAGACTCAATACTGTCAAGATGTCAGTTCTTCCCAACTTGATCCCAGACTCAATGGAATCCCAATCAAAACCCCAGCAGGTTATTTTATGGATATCAACAAACTGATCCTAAAGTTTATGTGGACAGGCAAAGACCCAAATTAACCAACACAAAACTGAAGAAGAACAAAGTTGGAGAACTGACACTACCCAACTTCAAAACTTACTATAAAGCTGAAGTATTAAAGACAGCGTGGTATTGGTGAAAGCATAGACATATTGATCAATGGAACTGAATAGAGAGCCCAGAAATAGACCCACATAAATACAGTCAACTGATCTGTGACAAAGGAGCAAAGGTTAGACAATAGAGCAAAGACAGTCCTCTCAACAAATGGTGCTGGAACAACTGGACGTCCACATGCAAAACAATGAATCCAGTCACAGACCCTACATCCTTCATGAAAATTAACTCAAAATGGATTATAGACCTAAACATAAAATGCAAAACTATAAAACTCCAAGAAGATAATGTAAGAGAATACTTAGATGACCTTAGGTATGGTGATGCCTTTTTAGATATGACACCAAAGACATGATCCGTGAAAGAAATAATTCAGTAGCTGGACTTCACTAAAATTAAAAACTTCAGCTCTATGAAAGACAATGTCAAGAAAATTAAAAGACAAGCCACAGACTGGGAAAAAATATTTAGAAAAGACACATTTGATAAAGGCTGTTATCCACAGTATGCAAAGAACTCTCAAAACTCAGTAAGAAAACAAACAACTCGATTAAAAAATGGGCCAAAAACCTTAACAGACACCTCACCAAAGAAGGTATATAGATAATAACTATATACAAATAAACATATGAAATATGCATATAAACATATGCAAATAAACATATGAAAAGATGCTCTACATCATATGTGATCAGGAAAATGCAAATTAAAACAATAGGATACCACTGCACACCTAACAGAAGGGCCAAAATCTGGAACACTGACAACACCAAATGCTGGTGAGGATGTGGAGAATGGGAACTCTCATACATTGCTAGTGGGAATGCAAAATAGTACACCCACTTTGGAAGACAGTTTGATGGTTTCTCACAAAATTAAACATAGTCTTACCATACATTCCAGCAATCATGCTCTTTGGTATTGACCCAAAGGAGCTGAAAACTCATGTCCACACAAAAACCTGCACACAGATGCTTATAGCAGCTTTATCCATAATTGCTAAAACTTGGAAGCAAGCAAGATGTCCTTCAGTAGGTGAACAGGTAAATAAATTGTGGTTCATCCAGACAATAGAATATTATTCAGCACTAAAAAGAAATGAGTTACCAAGCTATGAAAAGACACAGAGGAACCTTAAATGTATATTACTAAATGAAAGAAGCCAATCTAACACACTGTATGGTTCCAACTATATGACATTCTGGAAAAGGCAAAACTACAGAGACAGTAAAAAGATCAGTGGTTTGCAGGGGTAGGGGTAGGGGTGGCGATGGGGGTTGGGGGAGATGAACAGGCAGAGCACAGAGGATTTTTAGGGCACTGAAAAGACTGTATAATATTATAATGATGGATATATGACATTATACATTTGTCCAAACCCATAGAACATGTAACACCAAGAGTGAACCCTAAGGTAAACTGTGGACTTTGCGTGATTAAGTGTCAATGTAGGTTAAAATTCATAAAAATGTACCATTCTGGGGAGTGATGTTGATAATGGGAGAGACTATGCATGATGTGTGGAGGCAGGGGATATATGAGATATCCCTGTACCTCCTTCTCAATTTTGTTGTAAACCTAAACTGCTCTAAAAAATAAAGTTGTAAAAAAACCCTAACATTCCAAATTTAATTTAAAACATAACTGTTTCATTAAAACACAAACATTTACCCTATCAATTACTGGTACATGATCATATTCTTTTTTAATCTTTAGGTCTTACAACCTACTTTGTTTCTTACACAGTAAATGAAAAAAGAAAGTGTCAACATTTTCACATAACTTTTTAAAAAATATAAAGTCCAAATTCTGCTAACCAATTCTCCTTCTCTTCCTCATCTTACCATTTCAGTTTCTTCATTAGGAACACTTACCAGATACAATACATATCCCCATTCTGGAGCTGTGGAATAAGAAAGGATTCACAGAGTTGCAAGGCTAACATAGTCTTGCCTTCTTTTTCAGTGTTACAGATGATATCAATTCCACTCTTACAATCAGTTTTCAATAAATGCTATAAGAGGAAAAGAAAAATCAGTTCATACCATTAAAAACATCTAAAAAGCTAGCTGCAATAACTGTTTAAACATTCAGAAGAAATTAGATTTCCAGTTTTATTCTATAAAAATGATGAATTATACAGAAACATTTTCATGATTTCATAGTTTCACTATATAGCACCTACAGTTTACAATGACTGCTTTTAATCTCATTTATGTCCACAACTTATAGGTAAGTAGGGTCCATATTAGGAAAAGACTAATTCTTTTATCTTAAAAAAGCAAAATAACAAACATGAGCATTTAATTTCTTAATATTTTATTTAAAAGGCAAAATCATACTGCTCCTCAGTTTATGTGACCTCTGTCTCACAAGAAGCTCAACATGAATAATGCTTATTAATGAATGTTTTGTTAATTTCATCATTTGTTAATATCAGATTCTGTCTAATTCAGTGAGCTTAAAGAATGGCCAAAGAGAACACATCTAGATAACATAATTTTAAAACCTTTGGTATTACTCTAAAAGGAATTTAACACAAGAATGGGCTACATTTCTTTTTTTATTGTAAGGTTAGAATAGGCAAATATAAATCTCAAACAATACCTCCCGGAATAGCTGATCTTCTACAGGTGACATAAACAGACATGTGAAGAGTGCTTGATGGAAGTACAAGTCTTTACTGATTTCTGGATGGTTTATGCAAGATTTAATAAGAGCCATTGCTTCAGGTATGCGTTCACAAGCAATTAGGTATCTGGCACGTAGTTCAAAGAACAGTGGATTTTCAGAACTTAAATATTTGTTCACTATATTAAAAAGAAAACAGATTCTTATTACTCTTAAGAAAAGATTCTCTCAAGTTTTGATTTGTTGTTTGAAACATCACCACTAACGTGGTATCTAATTTGGTTAACTATTTATTTAATTAAATAGCACTTTCTGCAGTAGGGGTTTATTTGTGAAAAGAATATTCACAGTTATATGATTGGAAAAATGGAAATGAGTGACACCAAAACAGGGCTCAAGAAATATCTGCTGATTTCTTCTCAGTCTAAAAATTAAAAAAGAAAATTTAAAATAGAAAAAATATGAAATATTCTTTTTTCAGTTCATTAATATGTTAAAATGTTTCAAATAACATGGGGTCTGGAATTTCTTTCTAGTCTAAAATTATGTACTTTATCTTCTTACTGCTCAATATTTTCATTACTGTAAGATTAAAAGGCTGAATCCTAATATGTCATTAAAACTACATTAATTCAGATTAATTATGGAGAAATGTAATCTGAATTAATGAAAAACTTAAATCATAAAAGAAATATATTTTATTACTTTTCAACAAAAAATTAAGTCAAAAGTAGTGCCAAAAAGGACTGCTTATTAACATATGCTTATGTATCACTAAGGATAATTACTAATACTTGCATTTACACAATTTAAAAATATATAAACACCTTTATCTACATAAGTTTATTTAGACCTAACAATAACCTTATGACAGGTGTCATAATACTTGTTTTACAGATCACAAAAGTGAGTCTCAGAGAGGTCAAATGACTTGCCCAAGGACAAAGAATCAGTAAGAGGCAGAGCACGAACTGGAACCCCTATTTCATGATTTCAAATCAAAAAGTGTTTTAATTACTTATATATGTTTAATCAGTAGCCTCTAAAATGCCTGTGGGTAATGTTTTATTTGGGCTTCAACATTTGCCTTGCATTTCTGTTTACGATATACGGTAAGCAGACACTGTGCACAGTTGATACAAAGACAAACTTCAGACTGGTCTTTACCCTACTAGAGGACTAGGAGGGTCAACTAGAGGAGAGTCATCCACATTAACGAGGCTCTAGAGCAGCTTTTCCCAAAATGAGGTATGCTAATCTAAGTATGAAGGGGTGTGTACATAGAGAGAGGCCATCAGCACTCATCGGCCAACAACGGGTTTGTTCTAGCTCCTAGTCAGAGAAGCTAAAACCTCCCCTTAAAAGCCTAAACTTTCTTCTCCCCTGTTCTCACTCCTTCTGAAGCTCTATTTTTGTCTAGTTCCTGTCCCCTCTGGCCAGAGTCCCCAGTCTCCTCAATTTGCTTCAGTCTGTCACCTTGCCTTCCCTATATTTTACTCTTCATACTTTTCTTCAGTAATCCAATTCTTCCTCCTCAGTTTCCACTGCCTTCCTCTTTAGTCTTTTCATTTCCTTCCGAGACCATCATATCAAGTGCCAGTCTTCCTTGCATCCTTTCACTATATACCACTGTGCCACTTCACATATACCTTAGCCCTTTCCTCCTAGTCGTGTCTTACCTCCCATCTCTTCCCATTGCTTTGCACTACTTCTCCTGGGCTTACCTCCTTCATCTTCTCTCACATCTCTGCTGTAGTCCTCCACGCTTGTATCTGGGGTTGGCTTGCTCTGAAGCCTGAGAATCATAGCCCATTCTCTACTCAACTCTACTCCCAACCCACCCCCACCCCTTAACCTGGGACAAGTGGAAAGATCCTAACCTGCTCAGCACAATCTGTGGTGTGCAGCCTCTTTTTCACCAGACCAAGGTCTGAACAGTTCCAGAGCTGAGAGGTCTTTTCTTTTCCCTTTGGCCATCTTATAATTGCACTCCATTGGCTCTGTCCATGCTTTCAACTGTTTTCCACACTTTTGTGCTTATTCACTACTGCTGAGCTTACATTCTAAGTTTTGGTGATCCAAAATGTTCTGGGGCTCAGGAATAATTATGTCAAATATTTTCTAAAAGAATTAACTAGAAGTAGTAGACCGAGCTTCCTGCCTCAAAAGGAAATTGTAGCCGACAGGAACCAGTGTGGATCTAGGTTTGAGAGGAGGTGATGTCAAAGAAGTATGCAGGTGGTAAGGGGATGAGACAAAACGTAACTTCTATTAATGGATGAAGTTTGGGAAATACTGCTCTAGAGTATCTGGAATTGAAATTTCCTTATTCATTCAATTAGTCACTCATTCATTTAATCAACAAATACTTAAATTGAGCACCTACTCTGTGCCATGCACTGGGCTAGGTGTAGGATATGCAGCAGTCGTGACAAAAACTGAAAGAGTCCCAGCCCTCAGAGAGTTTCCTATATAAGGGAGATTCCATGTGCTTAAGCAGGGGGTTTGTTGTTTTTTTTAAAGGGTGATCCTACTTAAATAAGATTTTAAAAATATGACTGAAGTGATAAAAACAAATAAACTCTCTGTAAATAAGTAACAACTGGATAGTAAATGTGTTAACACTCTGAATTCTCATTAGAATAAATGGGAAATTACTAGAAATAAATGTATTTAGTCTAGTATTAAAAATCACTCGGGCTGGGTTAGTATATAACAAATTAAACATACTTTATGTGAAAAGACATCACTCTTATTCAGTATTACAAAATAAAGAAGTATCGCTATTACTAATCTAGTTAGGAAACGAAGCTGAGTCTGCTTCCCACGAATGCTGGTTTGACTTTGAGTCTCCTGAAGTACCTATCTCCTGAGAGGCTGGCTGGGCTTTAAGAACAGCTTGCAACACTGGATCTTCCCATGGGCCACCATCTCTAATGATTCGAGTCACCAGTTCCAGATTCACATTTCCATATCTGCGGAGGTGATTCTGGCATTCCTAGGAGAGAAAAATCATTTTGGCTTTGTGAATTTAAAGGGGTTAAAAACTAAACTTGATCATCATTGTCAATAAAATGACTGATGGTCAATGAGGCAGCTATTAAATTATGAAAGAGAAAGAACTGTATAGTAACCTAAGTAGGGTGTCAAAACCCCATTAGTATACAAACAGGCTTTAATGCCAAAGGTTACATGGTTTGTACATAATTTGACTTAGAAAATCCCATTATAATAGGGATGAAGTGTAACCTAAGGGGAAAATTTAAGGGATGCATCATTTCTAGGAAAGAACCAGGTTGCAAAAACCTAAGGGAAAAACTTACAGGATGCATCACTTCTAGGAAAAGAACCAGGTTGCAAAAATCTAAAACTTACATGTTCAGTTAAATTTATGTGAAGGCTCATAAAGTTTCTGTTAACAGTAGTAGGCAAGAGGCTGACAGTAAGAAGTGGATAGGGGCAAGGGTCCCTTCCAATGCAGACTCTGGTTGGCAGGTAGACACAGGTCCCCTGCCCTGATCCCAAATGTGTAATTTTAGTCGTGGTAGGCGGCTAGAAGATGGGAACTCTATTCCACTTTATTGTGTAAGTAGATCTGTAGTCTTAGGATGAAGAAATGATAGGTTGAAGAAATGAAGACTTTCAATTAGGTTTAAGATAAAGATGTATTGATAAGACGGCCATTAACTGATAATTCATGCATTTTGTGGGATTTTTTAATAGATATTTGAAATGTTTTTAGAGAATCTAGTATCTTAGACTTGTGATTATAATATGAATTATGTAACAAAAGTTTGTAAACACTGTAATATTTAGGAGAACTTGGTTTAGTGAATTTATAAATTTGAATTATTAGATTTAGATTTGAAAGATTTAATTGTCTGATTATGCTTTTTTATTTGTTATATGCTTTGTTAGGTGGTGTTTTTAAAAATATTTCTGGGGAATTTAATTTGATAATTTAAAAAGTTTACCTGAAGGTCTAGTCAAGGTATGAATAGATTTATTTTTTAAAAGCATAAATGGAGCTTAAAGCCTTAAGAAAAAACTAGATATTGAAATTGGCAATATTAAAAATCTGAATAAATTGCACATCAATCAAAATACAGTTGCCAGAATTTCCTTCTGTGTTCAAAAAAATCCCTCAGACATAAAAATCTTAATAACAGTTATAAAGCAAACTTTAGGATAAAATAATATATATTCACAAACTTTTACTTATCAGATGATTCATCAGGCTACATACTCAAAGTGGCAGTGTTTAATTGTCAACATTTGAACGTTCCAAAGTGATATCTATATGCCACTTTTCATTCCTTGTTAAAATACACAAAAGAGGTTTTATTTGTTTTATAAGAAAACAAGACAATAGAAGAAATCAAGTTTCAAGACAAAGATTCATTCAGTCAAAGCAGTCAAAATATGAAAATAAGTATCTTCTAAAAGTTATTTAGGGCATTCCCAAATTAAAAGAAGCAAACAAACAAAACCGCTATAAACAAAGGGCAAGTTATTTAACCTCTCTGTGCTCTTTTAGTTAACTCCTCAGAAAAATGGATACCAAAAACACCTACTTCATAGGATTATTGTGAGGATTAAATAATAGAGTGTCTTGAAAAGTGCTTGGGACAGTGCCTGGCATATAGTAGGCACTTAATAATGTTAGCTATTATTTCTTCTAGTATTTTTTAACACTTTGAATAAATATTTTAGGACGACCAATTGCCTTAGCATAAAATTAATTTCTGTATTTCCATGTATCAACATGTTATAGCATTCATAAAAATAACATATAAAGTTATTCATCAGCCATGATTTTTTTAACACATGGAACATAGTAACAATATGTGGCAACAGCTTCATGGTTAAAAACAATCATCAATTTCAAACCTCAAGGTAAACAAACTATTTAATTACTCTAGACACACATATTTCTGCCCCTAAATTTCCACAACTATAAGCTGGCTTTTGGTCCAAGCAAAGCACAAGAAATAAGATGAGCTGGATGCTAGCCCCTGCATCACTGATGAGCTTTAGCCCTTGGACAAGCCTGCTTTCTAGCTGTCTTAGGGTAGGTGAGGCCCCACCATACAGCCACTGGCACTGTGGGATCTGGAACTGGGCTCAGGCCTAAATCAAGATTTCGTGAAACAGTCTACTGCTAATTTCCTAAACTTGGCTGAAAACAAAAAACACTTGGAGGTCTTGTTAAAAACAGATTCCTAGGCCCCAATTCAAACCTACTGAATCAAAACTTCTAGGGGAAAGCCCTGATAATCCATATATTTAACAAGCCCCACCCCACGGTCAACTTCAGCATACTTTTTGACTGTACCTCCTACATTTAGAGTGCACTTTCATAAATGTTTATACTGTAAATTATATACATGGACTATTATCAATCCTTCTATTAAAAATTAGTAAATTAGCTTAAGTTCTTTTTTCTAAGATAAAAATTATAAATGAGAGTTTTGTTTTTTGTATGCGTGCACTTCTGGAGTTAAATACACCGTGTTTTGGAGACCACTTCTATGGGAAATAGCTCTGGATAGGAAAGAGAGAAGGAGTATTTCATTTTGGTCCATTTAAAAAGACACAGGATGAAAGAGAATAAGTTTGTAAGTATCTTTTGGTTCCTCCTTCCTTACATAGCAGGGTGGCTTTTTCGGATGATATTCAATTTAAAAGCCTCCGAAGTGAAAAAGGAGGTACTTAAATCACTGTAAAATTTACAACTTATCTTTTCTAGAATATATACATATTGTATTTTTTTAAGAATGTTTACTTAATTAAAAATTTGGACCTGTATATTAACCTAATCCTTTATTTAAGTCATTTGTCTACTGACACCCACAGCACTGAGCTAAATATAATTCCCTCAGAGACTTCCATTCAACTTGTGTCTTTGACAAAGGTAGAGAGGAAACACCACTCCTTCCCTCACTCTTCTTTCAGAATCCATTGTGTCCTGGGCTTCATGTCTTGCTACAGAAGATTCTTCCTCTCTGACTCACTGCCACTTTAGAGTTGGCTACTACAGCACATATGTGAAGGGGCAGTTCAGTGTTCCAACCTGATCTCAACCCTTCGGCTGCTTATCACAGGATGAGAGTCTTAACAACTCCAACTTCCTATTTAAGGACCTCTACACCTAAGGACCTATGCATTCACCTGTTGCACTTCATGAATCCCTTTCTTCAGCCTGGTCACTTCCATCTCCCAAATTCTTCTTGTACTTTCTTGCCTATGCCTTTTCTCATATTATTGTCTTTCTCCTACAACTTCCTGTAAACCTATCTAAACCTTCCCAAAAAACGATCTAAATCCTTTCCTATCAATCTTCCCACAGTCCCACTTTTCCTTGAGAAGCCTCCACTAGCTACCTCAATCCATAATAAACTTAATTCCTTCTCCTGCAGTATTGAAAATCTGTACCAGTCCATTCTCTGGTACTTATCATATAAGAGTAGGGTCTTGCATTATGAAGTGCTGACATCTTACTTCCTCGGTAGTTAAAAGTTTCTTCAAACAGGTACACTTTTCCTTTCAGGAAAGGAAAGGTGTATCAGAAGACATATTCTCAATAATAAATAACTTCTTTTTTTTAGGAAGATTGGCCCTCGGGGCCGGCCCCGTGGCCGAGTGGTTAAGTTTGCACACTCCGCTTCGGCAGCCCAGGGTTTCGCTGGTTCGGATCCTGGGTGCGGACATGGCACCACTCATCAGGCCATGTTGAGGCAGCATCCCCCATCCCACAACTAGAAGGACCCACAACTAAAAGTATACATCTATCTACTGGGGGGAATTTGGGGAGAAAAAGCAAACAAAAAAAAAAGAGATTGGCAAGTTGTTAGCTCAGGTGCCAATCTTTAAAAAAAAAAAGAAAAAACATAAGATTGGCCCTGAGCTAAGATCCGCTGCCAATCCTCCTCTTTTTGCTGAGGAAGATTGGTCCTGAGCTAAGTTCTGTGCCCATCTTCCTCTATATTTTATATGTGGGATGCCTGCCACAGCATGGCTTGATGAACAGTACTAGGTCTGTGCCCGGGATCCAAACCGGTGAACCCCAGGCCACAGAAGCAGAGTGCTTAACCACTTAACCACTGCGCCACTGGACCAGCCCCAATAATAAATAACTTTTTAAATCAAAATAGAGTTTTACGGAAATCTGTGTAAGTAGAAGTACTATGCAATATCTGTCTTTTTTTTAATGAAATGTAGATTCCAGAGTAAAATTACAGAATACCACATGTCAAATTCATCCATAAGCAAGCTATTTCAGCAAATCAAAGCAAAAATATAAAAGGTCTTCAATGTGGTCAATTTTATAAAAACAAAGTCTGTTTTCTATGGCTGAGTAAAAGGGGACAGGGGAGGGTGAAAGGGATAAAGGGGCACATGTATGGTGACAGATGGCAACTAGACTTTTAGTGGTGAACACGATGCAGTGCATACAGAAGCTGAAATATAATGACATACACCTGAAATTTATAAAATGTTGTAAACCAATGCAACCTCAATAAAAAAATAAATACAAGAAAAAATACAAAGCCTTGAAAATATAGTAAAATCTTTACAATATGTTGAAATGAGATGATGAAATGAGAATGACCATATCTTTTATTATTACACTTTCTTTTGTTATCTTATGGCAAAGCACTTCAAAAAGTTGTAAAGTGTAAAGAAGTTATGCAGTTTTCTTTTACAAAAAGATAATTATCACAAATCTGATGTTCTTTTCTGTGATAAGTTCCTAAGGAGTATTTACCTGAAGTTTTTGAAAA